AGTATCTGGAGGTTGGGTTCTGTATTCATTAGGATAATTAGAGAAAAACTTGGATCACTGACCAAACAGAAGAAAATTTTTGGAATCCCAGTACAGAACCAGCAGCAAGTAAGTAGCTGCCTTCAAATGTGAATAAGTATTAGAGGCTTGAAACTAATAAATTAATAACAGAAGCCCTCACTCATTTGCATGGAAAAGAAGAAGTCTATCAATGTTTATGTGAAATAGTTTACTAAATTTACTTATTTTAAAGCAAAAAAATCAATTCTGTCAGACTTAGTAATTTCACATGTAATTTTCATCTGTAAGAAACAAGTATTATGACTTAAGTACTAAAAATAAGCTGTACACAAAAGCATTCAAAGCCAGTCAGAACTTTGTATGCTTCCCTTGATATTATTTCTTGGTTGACTACCGTATGGTGTCTTGGTTGATCTTATTACTTGGTTGACTACATATTGACTGTTCAGACAGTAAAAATCTGAGCATTAAGAAGTCTTATTAAAATCAGATTTTAGCACCAGAACCTCCCCTATTTAAGCAGTTCTAACAACAACAGACAGCATTACTGAGGATAACAGAGAGGGCTTCAGGAACTCCTTGGAAATCTGGGCTTCATCTCAAGCCTCACAAATCTGTTTATCACCTTACAGGTGGAAGCTGTAATGTTTGCAACAGTCAAATGGCAGCTGCCCATATTCCCAACCTGATCTGGTATTAGTCAACCTTAAATACTTCCAAAATTATTGTACTAAATTTATATTTAAGTTTAAATTTTATTTATATTATCTTCTGCTAACTAGTGCTCCACACAAATGTTACCTCAGACAATGAAATAGTTTAGTTGCCATACCTGTTTTGCCTTCATTGATAAGGTTTGATAAATATCCAGTACCACACCCTTTGGGTTACTATTTGTCAAAAGGTATGGTTCAATAAATTTAAATATATTTTCACTTTAAGGTCTTTTTCTCAGCTGGGATAAACAAAGAGAAATGATAGCATGTAATACTGGCTTACTAACACTGGCACATCCCCACACACTCCAACCATCTTTCTTCCCATTACTTTCAATCTTCTTCGTGAGTGGAAAAGACAGGGTAGAATTCAATCTGTTCTATATAAAATTAGACAAATTGCCATGTATTTTTAAGCTCCTATTGCTCCAACACAATCTATGTAATACTGACCTCACATCTCTTGACATGAGAAAATCGTTCTTCTCCAGTCCATGGACTTCTCATTCCCTGGCACAGATCTGAAAAAACTTAGCTATAATTTCCCCTATGCATTTACACATTTTCCTTGGCAGAGATTTCTGCAGCACAGTACGAGGTCAGATTTAGATCTTCCCTCAAATTCCATCATCCTCTTCTTGTCACAACAGATAAAGAATAACCCAGCCCTTTTGCCTACTCAGTGCTAGTTGCTCTGCTGACAACAAAATGTTTCTGTGGTTTATTCTTCTTTATGTATTTCTGAACCTGTGGTGCTATGAGCCAGTAGGATATATAGGTTTTGAATACCAGAATATACTTTTTTGCGTGAAAAGGTAAACAACAGTGTCCTTCAGTTGGGCCCAAATGTCATGTAAATATTTCTCACATGAAGTAAAAAATAGAGTTCAGGTTTACATACAGAATTACAACAAGAGTCTCCCTGTGTTTTCTTCTTGGTTGGCCTGAGTAGAAAGTGAAACTGATTACAATGCACTTAAAAATAGTTCTATTGAGTAAAACTGTGATATTAACTGGGCCAGGCAGGATAAACAAAGAATAGGACACTGCCATTTTATCATTTGCTGTATTGCAGTATGATCATTTTGGATTGACTTAACCTCTCTGTGCCAGCAGACTAACCGTAGTGATCCTCTTTAATAACATTCTCATGCTTTTAAGTTTAAAAAGTGATTTTTCTATCTAAACAACAACATTATTTATGATAGGATTTTTTTCTGCAACATAGCATCAAGCATAGGGTTCCTGTGTACTGTCCCTTATTGATGAATTGTGATTACTGAAGTTCATGCTGGTATTATGCTGGGAAGATAGGAAGTAACTAGGCCATAAGTATATATTTTCCTTGAAGGAATCACACATTTTCTGTTGCAAATTCTCAGCACCTGTGGGTTGGGTAGGAACACAGACCCCCTCCTGTTCCTGCCCTCTGTTCAGTTCTGGGCCCCTCACTACAGGAAAGACATTGAGGTGCTGAAGCATGTCCAGAAAAGGGCTGGTGAAGTGTCTGGACCACAAGTCCTATGAGGAGCAGCTGAGGGAGCTGGGGGTGTTTACCCTAGAGACAAGGAAGCTCAGGGTGGATTTCATTGCTCTATGACTACTTGACAGGATGTTTGTAGCCAGGTGGAAATCAGCCTTATCTCTCAAGTAACAAGTGATAGGACAAAAGAAGTGGCCTCAAACTGCATCAGAGGAGGTTTAGATTGGATATTACAAAAAATTTCTTCACTGAAATGATTGTCAATCACTGGAACAAAGTACCCAAGAAAGGGGTGGAGTCACCAATGTTGGAGGCATTTAAAAGACATGTAGATGTTGCACCTGGGGACATGATTTAGTGGTGGGCTTGGCACTGCTGTGTTAACAGCTGGACTTGATGATCCTAAAGGTCTTTTCCAACTTAAGTGATTCTATTATTCTGTTTTATGTTTCCTCTTTCCCAAACTGCTTAGACTCTGACTCATAAGTTCCCTGGAAATGCTTCCTTTCAGCTGCTCAGGAAGAAGCATTTAGAGAACCAAACCATAGGCGTTTTAGGTCCAGAGATTGAGCACATCAACCTTAAACTCAGTAATGATCTCTTACATGAATTTCAGATATTTCTGCTTTTTCTTCCTGCATACTTATGATATTTCAAACACATGATCACTTCCCAAACATTCTAAAAAACGGTGATAATTTTAGAAGGTTTTTGAAGTTCACAGTTTTCTTCCCAGCTCACACTTTTTTCAGGTTCTTAGATCTCACACCACTTCTTCTGTAAGGACATTAAAACAGCAAATTCACTTTCTTCTCATTGCTAGTTAACACCATTTCACTTTCTGGAAGCTTATTTTAAATGTTTATTTTAGTAATTCTCAGAGCTCTTCTCAGGGTTATTAAGGAGTCTGATAGCTGATGCCTAAATGCAATGCTCAATATGCTCTTACTTTCTCCCATTTTATTCTGATCTACCTTTCTAAATATTAATTTTAAAACTGATGATAATTCCCCTTGAACTGGGAATAAGTCTGATATGTCTTTCTTCATTTCTGTTAACATTGATTCAGCTGATCACTTAGTATTCCAACCTTTCATATGTTTGAGTATAGCTTACTAGAAAAATTTATCTAGTTCATGACGGACAGAAGTCCATTAGGCAAGCAGCACAGATCAGGTCATGTAATAAGTGTGCATTTGCACATCAAACTGCATGACAATAAACTCTACACACACACACACCATCAAGCATAACAGCCCGGTGAGATGGGACACCTGTCTGTCTGCCTTTTATAGATACCTCTTAGACCTCAGCATAGGGCCCTGAGCTCCCCTGAGGTAGCTATTAAGCTTCTTATGACTGAAAATTTTGGATATTTGAAAGCTGAAAATTTTTTGACACTTCATTAAAAAAAAAATTAAGAGACTACCATACAAAGCTAATGAATTACACTGCAAACCCTTAACTTCCATTTTTAAATATTAAAAAACTATATAAATAACAGAAACCCTTCTCCATGTTTTCATGTAGCTGTGTAGATAGTATCTGTAATGATCTGAACAGCTGAAGATCAGAGGAACCCTAATCACAAATACATTAAGCTACTGACTGTGGTCATAATTTATTTTGAGTAAACTTTTGCAGGAGTATCCATCTGCAAAGGTATAATGAAAGGAAAAGGTCTTTGGAAATCCATCAGGCTGGTTTTTGATGGGAAGTGTCAGCCACTGAAAATATCAAAATATAGCAAAGACAACAAAGAACACAGGGCAAAAAAAATTACTGCAGTTGTATTCTTTGATGCTGAAAAAGCCTTTGATACACCTGTAAGAGAGTACAGGGTAGATTACTTATCTAAAGGTTTTCTAACTAGAAATAAAGTTCTTTAATATTTTCTCAACTCCATTTTTGTAATAAATACATAAATATTAAAGCCCAGAAATACCTGTATAATTTGTTGGGAATAACTTTTTTTGAGAAACAAACCTACCAAAGGGTTTGTGCATTAGATTGGCCTTTAAGAAAGAGAAGATCTCAGTAACTATGGCACAAAATCTCCTGACTATTAGATATATTGGATTGTTTCCACATAGATATCCACTGTTTAGCAAGAGCTCCTGTCCTTGGAGATACGCAGACTGCCACAGAATAATAAACGTACCATCCAATATTCTACTAATGATATCTAGAAAGTAATTTGTGTGGAGATTATTTCTACTGGAAAGTTGACTGCTGAAGGTGTCTGTTGCACTCCTGAGGGTGCATAACTTTACTTATTATTTACCAAAATTTGTGAACCTCAGTGATGAAACTTCAATTGAATAACCTCCTAAATGGATTCTTCTATTTGACCTTATGCAGTTTCATAGACTTAGTTTGCACAAGGGAGTTCACCACTAGGCCACTCAATTCAAATCTCATATAGTTCTATTTTCCTACAGTGCTTTTCTAAGGAATTCTAGTATTTGCACAATAACATCTGTTTTCTTTTCACTGTATTGTAGATATATTTGTACAGACAAGCAACTTGCTACAAAAAAAGACAGGAATTACATTTAATCCGCACAAAGACTTAATTATAGTTCTTTTTTGTTTTTTCCCCAGACCAAGTTGGTGTTCAAGATAAATATCATTTTCTTAGGCTATTCTTATGATGAAAAACTACACTACAATATTTGACTGTGCAAATTATTCAGCAGCAAAGATCTGCCTGTACAATGATTTTAACACTACATTTGAATTACAGAATTGAGCAGAATTGTTTGATCAGGAGTACTCACCTACAGACCAGTAGAGGAAAAAGGCATACAGTGGCATGTATAGATCCAGCAGGGAACTAACTGTAAATATGCACAGAAAAAGAAGTCAGACACAGTAGATAAGAAAATCATAATCTCTATTAACCAAATTAATTTTAATTACAATCTGAAAAATACATTTAAAGTAATTTATGATACTGGCTTACCTTTTGCACTAATTAGGCTTTCATAATAAAAGTATAGCAATAGATTACTTTTCCAGGAACTTTTGTCCAGATTTTAAAAGAACTTTATGTGCCCACTTCCCTGTCAAAAAAGAAGCTGTTAAGTAATTAGGATTTCAAGATCTATTGGTTTTACTATCTGAAGTATGATTAATTGTTTAGGGGTTTTTTACAGCAAAAGATAAGAAAAGTGAAAGCGCTTTTTCTGTTGCACAAAACATGTCTTATTTGCTTGGGCTAGAATCTGTCCCCATGCAGAGAAAGATGTAAAAAAGTAACCATATGAGGCCAAAATAGTATGACTATTGTCCCTGAAGACATCAAACTTCAGCTACATATTACTAGCATTCAAACATAATATTTCAAGGCTTGAAATTACATTTTTAAATAGAACAGAAAAAAATCTCATTCTTTGGCAGGAGTATTTGAACTGAGCTCATTAAAACATCTCTTGACAGGTTATATTAAGTGCTGCAATTATGCCTAATTTTAGTTTAGTACAATATGTTAATTTTAAACAGTTTAAGAGATCGTATCTCTTCTGGCCATTTTCTCCTTGCTTTGAAAGCACACTTCACTTCTACCCCAGCAGTAATCATAATTTTACATTGGAACTAGCTGCAGTTCTTTAGCTCTTATATGGCAAAGAACAATTTAATAGACACATTGGCCTTACTCTGGTGAAGCCCACAAATTTTTTGAAGTTTATTTAATTTAATATCACTACAAGGACAGATAGGAGAGACCTGGAATGTGTCAAAACATAAGATTTTATCTTTCCTTAGAAAACAGCAACAAAATTCACACAACATACATGGCAAGAACAACTGAGAGCTGGGATTAAACATATAGAGTGTGTTCATCAGCTCTCTAGGTGAATAAGTGTAAGAAAGATTCTTTTCCATAAGAGAGTATTTGTAGACATGGAAGCAATCCTTGTGGTCTTTGTTTGGTATTTTTTTCCCCCCATGTATATGGGTCTGAAACTGGTAATCTAATAGAGCCAATTGTAAAAGAGATTAGGGAAAATATGTTAATATTTTACTTTGTACTGAACTGAAAAAAACCCACCTGATGATACAGGTGGAGTTGTGCACTTTGGGCTAATGTAGAAGGCAGTACTTCACATTTTCATTTAAAGAGAAAAGACTAATGATTTTAATTTTCTCTTTTGAAAGGTGCTATAAAACATAAATAATATAAAGCAATGTCTGCCTGGTTTGAAAATTGAGAGATGAGAGTTTCAGATGCAAATTAACCTATAAAGCCCAATTCTGAGTTCTTATGATGAAGACATTTAAGTTTCATGGAGCTGTACATGAAATCAGGAGTGGTGAACCTTCCCTCCTGTACCAAATACCTATCACAGTCTTAACACAATCAGAGGCATGAGACACATAGCAGTGCAGAGAGCAAAAGTTGACAGGGAAAAGATGAGAGAAGGCCACTGGAAGTCCACTGGACTCCTAGTACATTGGTAATATTTTTTTTTTTCAATATAGAAAGGGTGAGATAAAAACTGTGGGTGAATCCTAGACTGAGAATCCCAGGTAAGAGATGGGAATCTTGCATGGGAGCAGCCGTGAAACTTTCAGGGAAAGCTCAAGATCAGACAGGATGATCATCCCACATCAGACAGAAGATGGAAGGGTCATTACTCATCATCTGAGAGATTAATTTCAGAGCAAAGCATCTCACTTGCGGCCTCCCACTTTTCTGTTCTTCTATTTTCCAGTTCAAGAAGGAGCACAGAAACATCAGTTATATACACTTTTTTTCCCAAGATTATGGAAGAAAATCCTAAAAATCCAACATCCTAAGAAATGTCTGTTGTTGGGAAAAGTACAAACCATAGACAGAGGTTACTTTTGCTTGGCTGAGCTGGATGTCCATGTCACCTCACTGCTGAGATTGTCTCCCCTGAGAGGTGATAGATCTCTCAGACCATGTAGGGGCTGTTTTTAGGTTAATTCTTTTAGTGAAAAGATTTGTAAGTCTTTAACTTCAGGCATACTGAAAACAGTCAGTAAATAAAAGAGGATAATAATACCAGTAGCAAAACCAGTACATCATGAAGTTGGAATAGACACTCTGTACATCAATAGATAATCACATTACACATTCCATATGAACATTTCAGACTTAATCAAAGGCATTAACTTGACTGTCAAGCACTAAAATAAGGAGGTTTGTTTGATAGCAAATTTCTTCACCATGAGTAAATATCCTTGTGTCAGACTCCTACATAAGTATTGATAACTAGATTTCCACATTAAGAAAAGTAATAGAGAGTTGCAACAGATGGGCCAAGATTTTCCTATGAAATTTTAACAAATCAAATTATTAAATACGATTATTCTTTTTGCTACCCTGGATTTTTTCCCCAAAAATTTTAGTATAAAATATTGTATGTTATAGATTTGATCTCTTAAGGGAAGCATAGCAGAGAGAATGTGAAACTTTGGGTGCAGTAGGAATAGCAAATTACTTTCAGAAAACATCCAAAAGTGCCATTTCCACTTGGCCACCCTCTTGCTGAGCACTGACAATGGAGCTCAATGCTGAAGTAACTTTTGATTGTTTAATGTCTTTAATTATTTTCCTTTGTGCTTTCTTTGCATATGCCAACTAAAACTGGGACACTTTTTTTCCAGTTTCATACACCAAAAAGTTTCTACATCTTGCACTCCATGAAAATGCACCATCTTCTTTTCAAGTAGCTTCAAGAGACAAAAATCAACATCCAAATATTACAATAGCTTAGAATTAGAATTTTTCTTCTCATAGCACTGAGTTCTCCTGAGCACACTCACAGTTTCAGAACTGCATTTTCTTATAGCACATCACATAGAGGTCTCTGTACCTGTCAATTCCTTCAGGCAGGTATCTGGATATACTGACAGGGTCCTTTTATGCCTGGTACCAGAATAAAACCCTCCTCTCTGGTACAGAGGAGGCACAGGCAGAAGTTCAGATAGTGGCTCATGTCAGTGTGAGGTTCTCAGGGGTGTGTAAACATCTAAATACCCTTGCAAATATCAGCCTTAGAAATGGGTCTGGTGAACTGATATCGGTAGGATTTTGAGATTTACAGACATTGAAAACCTGGGCCAGGAAAAGAGAAGGGTACACAGAGAAATCCTTTTGGATACTGGTGTGACCCACATATATTTTCAACTTGTTACCAGAGAACACTATATCTGGATTTGTTTACCTCTGACCTGAAGGAAGACTTCTCAGCTCTATGTAGTGTGTGAGATACAGTCATATTTGAAATACAACTCATTTCAGACCATATTGTCTCAATTATCTGATGATACAAAGGTGGTTGTCGATGAGGTATCTGGCAAATACTCCACATCAGTGATACTGGCACGCTTATCTAGCAGATGTTTAGAATGAAAGGCTGACAGTTTTTATGTGATAATTAAATCTTTTTAGTTGACAACTGCAGCTTAATTTAATTTTAATCAAGAGTAATAACCACCCATAATTGCTATTATGGTGAGACTCCATTTTTACCTAGGGCCTGAAGCAAAAGTGAACAAGATTTTGCCTGTAGATTTTAATCTAAATCTTTCTGATCTGAGATATTCTTCTAAATATGCTAATTTTGAAGTACTTCCAAACAATAAATAAATTAATGAAAAAGCAAAATCACAAATCAGTGGAAATTACTGTATAAAAAGGAATTGAGTATGTGCTCCAAGACATGATGAGGAAATACAAATCCCATGTCATTAGTGTTGTTAGGAACAGTGGAGAGCATCTAGTGTTCAGGGTGCTGTTTGCTCAGACTGCTGTGGAGCCACATGAACCCCATGTCTTTTGAAGCCTTTCCAAAATAATTTCAGGTGTTACCTGTTTAGTGTTGTGCGATTTCAGCCATGATATGTCAGCTTTTGACCCAGAACATCTCTCACAGAGCAAGAGCTCAAACACTAATTGCTTCTTCCCAGGGGTCTGTGCCCAGCACCTCCCGTTCAACGTGTGGCTCGAGCAAGTTCCCAACATGCACACAGCCTGTTCAGAGCAGGCAGGTGTAAGAAATATCTATTATTTTAAATAGGTAGAGTTTCTGAATGTGTATTTGCTTACTTCTGTCCTTTCTACCCTCATAAAGTAAAACCTGCAGTAGAGAGAGTAGCCCCTGAAGAACGAATTATATAGTAAATACGTCTCTTCTACCAAGGATCATGTAAATAAGTATCTTAGAGGAAGCCAAGTGTGGGTAAGTAAGATTGATTCACATTCACTGATTAGACCCAGGGGGGTCACATCCAGGAATTAAGCCAGAAAATGATGGGAAAAATAGATTAAAGACAGGCAGGTTCCTCACAAGATTTCTCGCTGCGCTTCACACCTGCTCACAGGTGGTTGCATGACCATACCTGTTCTGAGAGCAGGTCTAGCTCCAATGATTACTGCTGCTGACAGCAGACCTGATATTTTATGTAATACAAAAACAAGCATGGGGTTTAAATGTTTCTTATTTTCAAGAGCAAGCACAGTGCATATCAAATCAGACAACTCCTGCAAGCAAATATGTCTCAGCTTATTACAGAATCAGGTAACAGAGGCCAAGGCAACACAGACTACACATGGATAATTTTTCCCATGAGGAACGTGCTACAGTTCATAAGAGAACATCAGAATATCCTCTACTCATCACAGAAATCTAATAGATAGGAAACTAGGTGAGAACTGGAAGAAGTCAAGTCTTCCCCCAGCGGATGCCAGCTGAGATTTATGTCAGCCAGTCTGCCCTCATGAAGTGACAAACTGACTCCTCCTGATTTTGCAATTGCTAAAGTTGAGGCTCTGACACCTGTCTAACCTCACTTTTGTAGGTTTATTAAAATCTTGAAGTTAATTTCGAGGTAGCAGATAGACTGTCTCAAAGAAAATAACTGTCATCAGTTTTAAAATTTCCAGCTATAACAGTAGTGAGCATCTTAGATCATTTCCACATTTTTAGATATCTGTATTCTTGTGGCAGTTTTATTCGGTTATTTTTCAGCTGCTTTGTGCATTTAGTTTACATACTGTATTACATGCACTAAATAAAGATG